GCGCCACGCCATTTTTTTGCAGCATTGTTTTTTTGACACCAGAATCTCCCAATTCACAATCTTGTAACAGGTTAAGGAAAACTGATGCCTCCAAGTCCTCACTGGCAAATGTAATAATACTTGTGGTTTGCTTGCATCGCTTAGTGACAGGATAAAAAAGGATGTTCAAATAAATGCTGTGTAGGCTCTTAGTAAAATCATCTCCGAAAATCAGCCCTACTGGGAGACAAGCTTGTTCAACCCTAAATAAGCGCATTTTAAAATGGAAAACACTTGTCTATGTATTGATCAGCCAAGAGGAAACCCTTTTAATGAAGAAGCATAGTAATCTAAGTATAGGAGAATATGCCTGTGCAAAGACTACTACGCTGCTACACAGATTTTGTATACTGAGGGCTATTTGTTCAACTATTAGTGCACATCTCTTACATGCAGAGAACTGTACAACTGGTGTATATAGTTATTCAGTTGAAATAAGGAAAGACATAAGTGCAGATTTTTTGCACAATAGCTGTAAGGGTGCTTGTGTGGGACTATCCAGTGGGCCTACATATGAAAATGAGAGCATGATTGTACCTTGATAGTCATGTGCATATGAAGGGTAATTTATTTTAGAGGAAAGGCCAAGGTCCATCAATGAAATCTGGCAAATTTATGCACTCAGATACAAGTGCAAATAAATTAATGATTGCTAACCTACACTTTTTAAAAAATTGGAATTAATTGTCAAAAGGACCAGTCTAGAGAAAGGTGAGCTGCAAAAAAGAGTCACAGGACGCATGTGAAGTTCCTTTTTTGCTTGAAAAATAAACCAGGAAATCTTGCTACGCTATTGCAAGCTACTTCTTGGGTATCAGGCTAAATTCAGTGGACCCAAAAATAGATACCCACATACATTCTGATGGAGTTCATCACCATTTGTAAAATGCCTAAGATGTTAGCAGCATACAATTAATAAATAATGGTTCATAAATAGGTTTATAGGAAGAGATGGGAGACAAGTTAGCTGCCTTGTTTGAGTGTATCGGTTAACTTTCTCTCATCACAGGAAATGTCAATAGTTCTCAGGAGAACAAACTCCCTCCGTTGGTACTTCAGGTGCTGGAGTTTGCATAGTCAGAATGATTAACATAAGCACTATACACAGCCTTCTCCCAGCATGACTGTCACCCCTGCTTTCCCTTCAGCACAAGCAGAGAAAGAGAGGCCCCGGCTCCCTCCGAAATCCAGGCTAGGGTCTGCAGGTACTGCTCCACTATGGTTAGGGGATCCCTGTTGAAAGCATGGCAGAAGAGGTTCTGCTTTAACGTGCAAGGTCCCTTGCATGGGCAAAGGAGCAGAGCTCAGCTCCACCACACACCCTTCTGCTTCCCTCCCACAGCCCAGCTGAATGTTACCTGAGACCATGAAACGGATCTGAGGTCCAAAATCTAAAGCCTATCTATTCACAATATGGACAGGACTCCCCTTAAAAGCCAGGTGGCCGCATCCTTCACAGATGACGTTTTCAAGGGGTCTTTGAACATAGCTCCAAAAGACTTACTGATACAGTCAAGTAGATCATCTTATTCCTCTGCCATCAAGAAAAACAGCCTGACAACAAGATGAGAACAACCTTCTTTCAAGCACAAGGAAAAGTCGTAAAAGTACAAGCATGTGGAGTAAGTACTGGGAGGCCTATGACTCTGCAGTATGGATGTTTGAATTGTAAAGGGAAGCAGAGAGCTAGAAGTTTAATTAGCCAAGAATTTCATGAACTGCTTTGTTGAGAAGAAACAACCAGGTATGCTCAAACATACTAGACTCCAACCAATACTAAACCAACCATCACTCAACACTTCAAATTATTGCCTACTGTCTAACCTCATAAGCAAGGCCATATTAAGGCAACATATGGCACTGGATCCACCTCAACCTGAGCAGATTTCCTGCCCTTGGAAAATTGTCCATAATTTTCAATAATCTGTAGAGAAATTTCATAGACGTTAGGGCTGGAAGAGACCTTGTGAGGTCATCAGGTCCAGCCCCCTGCCCAAGAGGCAGGAAATCAGCTGGGGTCAGATCACCCCAGCAAGATAAGCAACCAAGCGTGAATCATTTGACAATTTTGGGGGGAATCTGACGAAGGGTTTTTGCTTAAAAATGTTTTTTCCAACTATTTAAGTTGCTTAAAAATGTTTTTTCCAACTATTTAAGTTGGTCTAATATAAGATATCAGATTCACCCAAAGAACCTTGTCTGCCTATGTCCTTAGACCAACACAGCTACAACCTACACCCTTGAAAAAGTTTGAAATTTTCAATCGTTTGAAAATATTTGAAATTTTTGATCATTTGAACATTTTCCCCATCTTGAATCAGGACAAAAACCTCTAAAAAAATTCACAATACCAAAAGAAGAAAAATATCAGTTTTGATTAATCAAAAACTTTTGTTTGAATAACTTCCAAATATTTCAGTTCTGACTTATTTTTTTATTATATGTATTTTACATTGCAAAACAAAAAGACATTTAAAAATCATTAAAAAATGTCAAAGTGGAAGATTGAAAGAAGTTCACACCTGTATTTCTCAGACGTTTTTCAGGAAAAGAAATAATCACAACTAGCCTTTTTCACAAACGGGTTCTGTTTTGACAAATGCACCATTTCAAAAAAAAAAAAAAAAAAGTTGAAAAATCCCTAGCCACCTCTAGCTCTGTGCTCTCCATTGCAGTGCAACAGCACCGTGCTGCATAAACAGTTGTGTTCTGATTCTTCTCACCGTCCTTGGAAGGAAGTAAGCCTTAGGGTTAATATTGACCAGATAGGTATACAGTCCACACCACTCCACTGTTGTTTCAGGGCATCTGCAGATTCTAGCAGTCATCACTGCTTGGTTATATTCAGGTCACCTTTTTGAGCTTTCCTTCACAACTTAGGAAAGGTACTTTTCCCAAATAAAGCTGAGAATCTGATATGACTCTCCCATATGACTCTCATATAAATATATGACTCCAGGAGCTGGGACCCTAGACATGCTTAGGCCTTAATCCAGCTCTGTTCATATGAAGACATAACCTCTGCTCCGTAAATTTACAGTCAAGGTCAAATCGTCTGTGGGTGAAACATTTTGGTGTCAATGGAGTTGCCAATGGACCATTTACTCCACCCAAAATGCAGTCTTTAGTAGGATTTTTATGTTAACTGATTTCTTTACGTGGGATATGTTTGTACTGGATTGTTGCAAAGTCTGAAAAACTGTTTAAAAATGATTACTTTGGAGTACAAACAGTGTGGTTTAGAATAGATGCCATTAATATTTTAACTACAGTATGGTACAGTCTAAGCCTCTTCTCTTTCATATCTTCATGCTGCAGCATTTCCAGCAACTTAAGTCTGGAAAATTAACTCTGATTTACTTCAGCAGTAAAAGCTGGAAGAGTGAGATTGTTCCTATACTTCTGTTTGTGAAGTTTCCTACTGAAGGCCCTTACTGAAGGGATTTCTATAGGTGATATTAACAGCCAGATACATACAGAAGAGAATAACATGTTAGTGCATGACATTTCCAAGAAATAACCCAACCTCCTCCAGTGCAATCCTTTTCTAAATGCAGCTGTGAATCACTTTTCCAACTGCAGCTGTGAGTCACTACCAAGACTTTTAATTCATGCTATGGAAGCCACCACCCAGAGATTAGACAATCAAACAAGCAGCAGCAAATAGCAAGGCAAAACACCAATTTATATAGAGCTTAGGGCAAAACCAAACCTTTTTTGCTGTGTATTTAAAGAAGTTATCCATGTGAAAAGCCTCTCCCAGTATATCTGTGGCTAAGAGCCATTGTACAACAACATCATAGTCCATCTCTCCAGTGGCACCTTCAATAATACCAGAAAATATGTTAAAGGTTGCATCAAAATGAATCATTAAAAAGTAAAATTATTATCAGCTTTCAGCTACAGAACCATACCCTGCTGGTTTATAAAGATTAATTTTCTTCACATATTTTCAGAGGATAAATGAGCACGAAGCACTAAGTACGTATATCTTATCTGCGCCCTAAGTATGTGTATCCAGCACTGGAATTTTCCCTTTAATGTGAGTTAATGTTATATTTTTTCAAGCATGAAATTTCACAACTGGCTTTCAGACTTCAATAGGAAAATTCTAGCAATGGTGATGTTATTATTAGAGGATTTGACTTGAATAATCTAGACTTGAATGTTTTATTCCAAGCCTGGATCTGAAAATCCAGCCTGGCAGATTGAAGTGTCCTCTGTGCAGTTTCAGAGGTGTAGGTTGCAGCCGGGTTGGTCTAAGGACATAGGCAGACAAGGTTATTTGGGTAAATGTGATATCTTTTATTAAACCAATTCACATAGTTGGAAAAATTCTTAGCAAGTTTTCAGGCACAAACACCCTTTATCAGGCTGAGGAAGGGCCTGCGGATGGCCATCCAAGAGCACAGATCATCTGCAGGCGCTTCCTCAACTTGACGAAGGGTGTTTGTGCCTGAAATGTTGCTAAGAAAAATTTTTCCAACTATTTGAGTTGGTATAATAAAAGATATTGGATTTACCCAAAGAAACTTGTCTGCCTCTTCAAACAACCATAACAATTGGCAAGTTCAGCAAAAGCTCTGAGAAAACAGCCTTCCTGTGTCAGCAGCAAAGACATTTGTTTAACATCCTCAGCCTGGATTTTTTGGCAAAGTCATGCCATCTCAGCAAAGCAAGAACCTGCGGTAAACATATGAGTACTCCTAGGCCCTCCCAGCCCTGCAGGTCAGAACAAGTAAGTGTCTGACATTGCAGCACTCCTGCAACCCTTCAAAATAACCAGTGTCAGTACCGAGCCCTGTGGCAGCTGAAATGTATGGGAGGGAGTTGGGACAAAAAGAAGATCACTCAATCTCTTTTCAGCTGTGACCTAGAATGGGGTTGCTTTTGGTGTCCAGAAGCCAGGGCTGGTGCAGTAACCTGTATGACCACCTTCTTCTCTTGTCACAGTATTTAAAAAAAAGCCCAGAAACAGAATTAGCAAAGCAATTCCCTTGAACAGCTTCAGGATAAATTGTGCCGTTTAATGAATGAGTCACTCACGTATATTCCAAATATTCCTGCCTTTGAATGGGCAAAAATCCACCCTCTCCCCATCAACTGCCTGTGGTGGCCTTTTCCAGTGTGCTGAAGCTGAGAATGTCTGGTATGTTTGAACTGACGTAAAAAGTCAGGGGGTTGTATTCTAGCTTCCAGTTCATCAGTAGATAAATGTTGTGATTAATGTGCCTGTATGAGCCAGGATTTCCAGAATGGACGGACACTGCAAAGGAAAAATCAATTGCTGTTCATGTGTGAAAGCAGCTGAGTTTCATCTGATTTGTTGCTTCCGCTGCTTGGGAAAACACAGTGTCAGTCCAGGTCTGCATAAAGGAACAAAGCATCCAGGATGGGAAGAGCTTCATACACAAGGAAATGTGCTCAATAGAAGGAACACCAAAAGTAGCTAGCCCTCAAGGGATCAGGTCCTGATGCCGATTTGTGTGTGACCTTTGGCTGGTTGTATAATATCTCATAAGGCCTCAGTTCTCTATCTGTAAAATGGGCATAATAAGACTAAACTGTCTGTTTTGTCTATTAGAGTGTAAGCCAGGTGACCTGGACTCTCTTATGTGTTTGTACAGGGCCTGATCTGGATCAGTGCATGTAAGTGCTACTGTGATCTCCCTAATAAATCATGTAGGCTGCTTTCAGATGTGGAAAACAAAACAATAAAGAGGCGTTTTACTTTAAACTCGGTGCACTCCCATGCCAAGCCCACAGCCTGCCCAGAAGAGGCATCATGTTAGTAGGACCCGACTTGCCCAACATCTGTATAGATCAGGCACTTTACTGGGGCTTCTTTGGTGCTTTTATCTAGTAGCTGATTCAATCAGCTACAAGATAAAAGAGCCAAAAGTGCCTAATTTATAGAGATGCTGCAGAACCAGGTCGAATAAACATGCTATTTCTTCTGGTAAAGCGTGTTTTGGGGAGGGGGGGAGGTGTTCACATGCGTCAGCAGCCATAATGTGTTTGGCAACCTAAATATATAGGTTGTTACTAGTTCTCCTATAATAAGTAGTGAAGAGAGTGACACATGCTGTTTGGGGACAGTAAGGTATGAGTGTGGAGATATGAGCAGGGAGAGACATGCTTTTGACCATGAAGGAAGTGGAGAACAAGATGGCTGAAGGACAGATTCAAAGAAGAGAAGCAGAGAAGGGAGATGGCTTTACTGGATAGGAGCAGTGTGGAAATGAGATAAGGAGCAGGGAGGCAAGAACAAGAAGTCACAGAGCATGGGATAACTAAGTCACAAGCAAGCATTTTACTCATATGGGCATAGGCAGATTAACACATGGGCCCAGAGTCCCTTGCCAAACAGGCCCCCACATATGCCTGGAGGGTAGACGTGGGGGGAAGGGAGGGCAGCTTAGTGCAGGCAAAACTGGCAGCCAGGCTGGGCCGGGCCAGGTGTGCGCAAGGTGGTGGGCCACAGCTGCTGGGTACTGGGTGAGGTGCAAGGCGTGACTGCACTGGAGCTCTAGTAGCAGCTGGAGCTGCTGGCAGCAAGAAGCAGAGCCAGGTGCAGTGTGTAGCTGGGACCTGCTAGTGGCGGGACAGCCCCAGTGCAGCCAGGTCCTGGCCCGGCTGCGACCATGGCCCCAATGAATCTTACTCCGCCTCTGCATACGGGCCATGAAAGGGGTATCAGAAATGTCTATATGTGGTTGAGAGAACAATAAGGGCATGTGAAGAGAGAGAGCAAGATGACAGAGCCCAGGATAATGCTGTGAGCCTGAGTGAAGGAGAGGCTGGAAGAATTTCCCAGAGCATTGGAGCAGGGAAGAAGCCCATTTTGGAGGAGAGATGAGAAGCTCAGCTATTTATCATTTTGAATCTTACCCTGCAACGAGATAGCCAAGCTGACATGCCAGAAAGACAGAGGGGTAGAAGTGGACTGAAGGGGAGGATCGTGTAGAAGGCCTGGACTGAGAAAACACTGCCATACTGCTATGTGTGCACAGGTCCTTCTGCGAAAGAAAAGTAAAGACAGCAGAATGGAAAGTGCCAGTGACTCAGTAGGTATTTAAACACGTGGCCTGTAAACCCACCTATGTATATGGCCCCATCTTTGTTATGTATAAAGCCCACCTATGTATAAGGCCAGCATAGGTATGTCAGATACAAGTGTGACTAAATCACCCCCTTACCAACCTAAAGCCCTTGTCTATACTCAGTTATACCAGCCAAAAGAAGTCTGGATAGCCCCTTTCATTTAGAGAACTAGTGTAAGCAAGGAAGCTGGTGACCAAAGGAACGCTTGTGGGTATAAGCTGCACCTCTGTTAGGCAAGTTTGTCATTATAACTCTACAAGCAAAACGTCCAGTGCAGACAAAGGCCGGGGGGCAATACTCAGTTTCCTTCAGTTTGAGGTTAACCGAGCTGCACCAATTCCCACCAGCTGAGAACCTGGCTCAGAATCCCAAACAGTTTTTGAATCTGAGTCATGCTTAGCAGGGGAATGGGGTTCAGTATCTGTGTGCTTAAGAGGAACACAGAAAAGGTGAACTGACCTTTACTGAGAATGTCAGCTCTTCTCCGTGACCACACAGGGAACTATATGCCTAATCCCCAAAAAGGCTGAAGCATAGCTCTTAGCAGTGCCAGGGAATGTGCCAGGGGGCATGCAGCCCTCTGAAGAGGCGCACACAAACAGGGTATGCGGCTTTAGAGCATATGTCTGCTTTGATTATTACATAATATTAATAAATGGTGCTTTAAACAACATTAGAAGAGCAAGCCTGAGAAATTATGATCCTCTTCTCTGAGGTCAGCTGCGGGACAATGGCTTTTTGGCCTTTGTCTTTAATATTGGGGGATATTTGATCTGCCTTATACCAGTGGGGGCCCACTTCTTTAGATGTGCTGCAAAGTGGTCCTGCACCCTCCCCCCCAAGTGCCACTCTGATCCCCTTCCTCTGCCTGACCCACCACTCTGCTTTCTGCTCACTACTCTGTACTCCTTGCCTGATCTCCTGCTCTGTTTTCTGCTCCCTGCCCTGTTTGCTGCTTTAACTGTCCCTCTTCCCTGATCGATTACATGTCAGAAGTTGCCCATGCCACTTGTGGCATCCACACCACAGGTTGCTCTCCCCCCGATACCACACCATCTATTTATTGAATAGGATAAAATAGTGGGCCAATCGTCACTTGTCTCTCATTGCATCAGATTCCTGCACTGAAGGATGAATGAGGCTTGCTGAGGTTTGACCAGAAAAATTTGTGTACTTGGTCTTAGACCATGGTAAGTGAAAGCTAAACCGTGGTTGTTTAGCTCTGTTTCCCTGTGGCATAAACTGTCAGCGTTCAGCTTTTCTTTACTGTGGGATAAGAGCAGGCACTGGGGCAGTTCCTGAAGACCGTGGTAGACTGGCTGCTCCCACGAATGTGCCATAATTAATTGGTGTGCCCCTGCTCTTGGCAGGAAATTCTGAGAGCCAGAGTGCTCATTAGTCTAACTTTGCAAGCAGGATGCAGCCCTGGTTCACTGAGCGATCTGTAAATCCCTTGCATTCTTTGTCAAACATTCCTCATTCTCGTGACAAAACCATCCACGCAGTCTTCACTGCTCACCCTGTTTGTGCTGTTCCCTCTCCCTCCGCTCTGCCATCCTGTCCTGGTGCAGAGCAAGCTCACAATTCTGTAACCAGCTCTGGTGAAGTGGGGAAGGGGGCCAAGTTCGGCTCCTCATGCTGTTACGGTTCCCACGTGGCCCTGAACAAGACTGCACTGGTGTGCCACCCAGCTTATGGTGGTTGCAAGAGTGGTCTATATTAGCAGAAGCTAATATAGAATATTAGCTATATTGAATAGCTTGTTAATAGATAAGACAAGACTATGCAGTATAAGTCCTGGATTTGTACGACTGCAAATGGCTTCCCCTGCTATAGGTTACACCAACTCTTAACAGCCCTGATCTTCCTCTCAATGGGAAAAAAAACACAAAGGGCACTGGAAATGCCATGTGGATCCTCCCTATAGTTTCCCATGTTCCCTCAGGGAGACGGGCTTCACACACACATAGGTAAGATAAGTAGGTCCAGCTGCCAAAGCTTGCAGGACATCTAAGCTCTGCCTAGAACACAGGCAAAATGCCAGCAGACATCTTCACCTTGGTTCTCCCTCCTGCCCTTGGAGCCACAGGACCTCTCCAGCCACTGCTGACTCCAAGGCCCTCTTTTGAATGGACACTGGATGTGCTGCCATCCTATAGCTGAGCCACAGTCCAAATCCCCATGTACATCAATGGGATCTTTACTCCAGAAGTGAATGAGCTAAAACATACTCAGAATGAGGAGAGCAACCAAAAGGCTCTGATTTACATGCCTCCCTTGCCTGAACATGCTGCACCTCTTTCATTGCCAGCATTTGTGTGAGCAAGCATGAGGGCTCACGGTGGGAAGAGGTAGCAGATTCAGACAGCACAGGCTTGGTGGGATTAACTGGCTGAGATCAAAGCAAAGGTTTGGTTTGGTTTGGTTTGGTTTGGCAGAGCTGCACTAGAGCCACGTAATACTTTCGTCAGTGTCCAGAAAGCACTTACAAAAGTTATTGTCTTCAATAGATCACAGGGGTTTGGACCCATTTCCAGGAGCCAGATACCACCTCTAACACAAGGAAGCCACACTCTGGAAAGAGAGAGCTACAAAATCGGAGCGCAGGAAGAGAACATTCACCAAAAATGGAGCTAGTAGTGACTCCTGTCCAGATCTGGCTCAGAAAGGAATTCATCTATTCAGCTTGGGATTTAATAATGGGGTTCTAAGGCAGGGGTGGGCAATTATTTTGGGTGGAGGGCTGCTTACTGAGTTTTGGCAAGCCATCAAGGGCCACATGACAGGCAGCCAGGGGCAGATAAATATTAATTTTCTAACTTTTTTAGGGGCCCCACGGGCTGGATAGAATGGCCTGGCGGGCCACATCCAGCCCACTCCTGTTCTAAGGGCTTGCTAAGCATGTGTATTTTATTCTTTCCTCCCGTTCGGTTACTATTCACCTGCTGCCTTTGAGGTCTCATTTGTTTTTGTTTTGTCCTGTTTACATAGGAGAACAGATAAAAGGAAATTAAAAACTCAGATCATGATCAATAAAAACACACCAAAGTAATTATACAAAGGAAGTGCTTGAGCACCAGCTCCTGTGCTGGATCTCCTCATCAGGAGAGGTGGCCAACAGTAGCCACTGCCTTTACTACACAGATAAAGGGGCTTAACTGTTCTTTCTTTAGACGTGGAAGAAAGGTTGTTAGTCACTCACTGGCTCCAACAAGTTCTGTGATCACCTCTGGGGGGGCTGGACTCGATGATCTTCTGAGGTCCCTTCCAGCCCTAATGTCTATGAAATCTATGGATCAGATTCATGTGATGGCAAATATAAGCAATTTTCAGCAACATAGTATTCTCTGCACCATGACAAGGTATATTAGGCAAACTCACCTTAGTAAGACATCTTACTTGTGGGTCATCTCTTATAATGAATACAACAGGAAGAAATGCTAATGAATGTCAGAAACTATTTTTTTAATACTGAAGCTGAAGAGGTTGCTGGCATTTGCATCTATGTTCATTATAGCTCTGTGTTCATAGGCCTTATTACCTACTTTGGTCCTCCAACCTCATACCAAGGTAACTCCACCGTTTGCAGCCACATTACCTTGGTGTGACCTGGAGTAACGTGGTGAATCAGGTCTAATGTCTATTTTTTCTGGATTGCAGTTGGGAATGAGCAGTGGCAGCTCTGGTTAAGGTTGGCTATGTGTTTTCATTCTAAAGAACTTTTCTGGGTCTTTAAAAGTGTCAAACCTCCTTCCAGCCCCAGCCTTTTCCTAAGTGTCAGTATTTCCAGGAAGTCTGCAGCAAAATTGATGGGCTAAAATTGAAATGAAAGTAACTGAAAACAATGTATTCTTTTTTTCTTTTGGAGGAAGAATAGTCTAGTGGTTAGAGTCCTAACCGGAACTTGGGAGAAGTGAGTTCAACTCCCCGTTCTGTCCTAGCTTCCTGGAGGAAGTCATGTAGACCTAGATTTTTAAACAACCTATACCCCTGTAAGATGTTTAAAGGCATTTCAGTATCGTTCTATTCAACATTGCAAACCCAAGGGCCAGCACCAGAGCTAGTCTGTTCATGGATGTGCCTACACTTAGGCACTGGAAGGCCTAACAGACTTAGGTGCCTTATTCCAGGAAAGCAATTCCATTTGACTGCGTGTAGATACCGCATATGGGGTACATGGTAACTAAACCGTCAATGACTGAGGTACCTACCAAAAGTGATCCACAGAGAGTTAGGTACCTAGGCTCAGCATAAGCGCCTAAGTGAAATTGCATGTTACAGTCTTCCAGAAAGACATCAAGATCCAGGTCTACAACACAATCATCAACCCCACTCTCCTCTATGAATGTGAAATGTTGTCATCTCAAGAGCCTGGGAGCTGCTGGCTACTAACCAACTCAACCAAGTGGCAGTCTACTTCAAGGTAAAGCGTCTTGCCGTCAAAACAGAGAAGAGAAGAGACAGTGGAAGAAGGAAAATGAGATAAATCTTGGCCTAAAGCCTACTCTCCTAAAGCTAAAAGCTTGGCCTAAAGCTTCTCAAATGCCCTTTCTGTGAAAAGACCTGCAATTTCTGCAGACAGATATGTGGCTCAAGGGCTGGACTCTCATGTCACCTCAAGACTCATCAACGAGCCACAGTAAAGATCATCCTCAAATCGGTAAGTAAAAGCAGTTGGAAGCAGTGGAGGAAAATAGACTAAAATTGTAGTTGGTCTCAGACCGTGGCCTGCAGCGGTTCTCAAGCCATGGTCCATAAAGCCATGATAATCATCTACAGAATTCACTGGCCTCCTCCCTTTTTCATGTGAAAGATTGGCGGTAAGTGAAAGTGGTGGTCCACAAGAATTTCTGAGGGCTGACTAGTTTGTTGGTCCAAATTTCGGGGGATCTCAGATCAAGGGTAGATGGCAGGTCAGAGCTAAGCCACATGGACTGACAAGCTTCTCTGTTTGCAAACATAGGGGATAGCTACTGGTTTGCAGGCTCTGAGAGGGGAGAAGCAGTGGTCAGTGAGTTACCCAGGAGGGATCAGACCTTCTTGGCCGTACAGCTCAACAGAAATGCACTCTTGGGATTTCCAGGCAAGGAAACTGTCAGTTGTTGTGTGTTGCTATTGCCATGAGGGAAAGAGGGCTCTGTGCAGGTCTGTCTCAGTCAACAAGGTTTTGTATCAAGGAACACAGCAACCTCATATCAACTCTTTCTTCTTCTAACAGAGATCACACAGCAAGGCACCAAATGCTGGCTCACAACTGGGGCCTAAGATACAACACATCCCGGATCTTCCTTTACTACTCTCCCCACAACAGAAGACTCGATAATTGTGAGTCAGGATCTTTGCAGTAAACTGTAAAACCCTCACCACAAACACTTAGTGTGAGGCCAGAACCACAGTTGTTCTCCCTGGTACCAGTGTCCTGACCATGGAGAACCCCTGGGCCTTGCTTAGTGAAGGCAGCAACACCCCTGGAAGCGTTCCAGGTTACGTGCAAGAGGCCAGTGGTGTTTCCTGTCCTGATTTTTCTGGGTTTGCTTTCCAGTCCTCTCTCACATCTTCCTGAGCCCGTAACACTTCCTTCTGGAGAGAAAGAACTGGCTCCTGCCTGGAACAAAGTCTGCTCCAAGTGATTCTGGCTGGCAGAGGTAGGCCGATGCTGTGGTGGCCTTGAGGAAAGAACAAAATGATGGCATGGAGAAAAACAGGGAGCAATAAAAGACATCTCCAGAGGTCCATCAGGGAGACGGAAGTTGCATCCTTTTGTGGGCAGAGAAAAAGGAGAGCGGAACAAAAAATGTAGCACAGTGTAATCAGTCTCCAAGCAAGGATGGTAAAAGTGGTCCAGGGATAAGTGATGCCATACAAGCTCTTTCACCTTCTAGGGCACCCATTCAATTCCTTACTGAGTTGTTACCTGCTGGCATATGTGAAATCAATTTGGTGGTCTCGGTCCAGGGGCCAAGGGCTATTCTCCACAACTACCAATTCCCTACTGAGTCTAGCTGGCAGCCACCCCTTGTTGGCACTCTCAGGGGGAAGAGCAAGGGCTGTTATTGTGGGACTGCCCCACTGAGTTAGGATTGAGGCCCTGGGGCAGGACAGTGGAGGCGGGGGGGGGAGTTGCTGCTGCCTGTGCTGTAGCTATTCTGTGGAGAAAGAGAGGGACTGGCTGCCGCTTATTGCACAAAAGTCAAATGGATAGTCAAAAAAAAATCCAAGATCTGCCCAAGCCAGCATCCCATTGGACTAGCAGCGTTGAGCACACTGGTCTCCTCCGCGGCAAACACACGAGAGTGATGTGGCCAGCATCATGTCTGGCTGGGTTCATCTTACCACAAGAAAGAAGCAGGAGGGATGTTTGTGTCCCTTGGCAGGCAAATGCTCTTTTAAGACCATGAGGTTTCAGCAATATAGAAACAGTGGGGAATTCCTGAAGGTGTTTAGGCAGTGGTGAACCTGCCATCCTACAGCTGCTCCTACAGCCTCTGACTGGTGAGCAGCAGTCGCAGCTGCTGTGCTGCCTCTTTCCTAGGAAAATGGCCTGTGGATCCACACAGCAGTGTTTCTCCATCTTCCTCTGAGGATCTAGTGATGCCCAGTGTCATAGAGAAGATACTAGATGGACCACAGCTCAGCCCCAGGACCTCAGTCCCTCTCTTCCTGGTTGCAGGGTCTACAGGCCCTTTCACTGAATCCCTCAGTTCAGTAAATCATATAGATGTTTTAACTGGGGGCCTGATCTACAGTGCAAGATCTCATATGCCAGTGCCCCTTAATGATGGCCCACCAAGAGCCTCTTCTGAGCTATCTACTACATACAGTGGCTGCTGCCTTCTCTGTGGGCTCCCCAAATCCACCTGGAACCTCAACTGTGGAACGAGGGAGCAGGGGTATATGGTTATCACTCAAATGGATAACAAAGTAGCACGGCTGAACAGAGCAAGACAGTCCTCCACCTGCCTCGGGTCCTGCAAACAGGACACAATGATTGCCCCTGCCCCAGCCCTCTTCCCTACCTCCCACTAATTCCTGAGAGCTAGAGTTCTCATAACTCACAAATGACCGGATTACTATCATGTGCTTGCTCACTTGCTCACTCTCTCTTTTTCAAACCGGCTTCTGAGCTGAGGCTATTTCTGCCAAGTTTCTGCCTGGCGTGAATTTTTACAACAGAGTTATAAACGTCTGAAAATAGACGCTTGCAGTGGAAAGTCTGACACACCCTATATGGTGCAGATGAATGGCAGAGCTGTAACGAAAAGCCAATCAAGAAACTGGACCATGCAGCTGGGAGTGCTTAATACAGGCCACGTACAAATTAGCCCAAAGGGGTAAAGAAACTGGACGTACAACAGGAGCTAGGGCAGAGAATCTCCTGTTTGCTTTTCTCATTGACGGGCATTTGGTTAGCCTTCCTTGGGCTCACATGGTTTCATTCCAAGACTCTTCACAAATTTGAGAGTCCTTTCACAGAAATAGCCAACTGGCTTTGATTTCTGCATGCAAAACTACCCACAAAGTCTTGACAAGAAGCCGGGAGCTGTGTTGCATGCTACAGTGTCATTAGTGAGGGTGGATATTTCAGAGCAAAATCCTCCTGGGACGGATAACAAGGGGGTGATAAATTAAGCTTCTCAAATGCCCTTTCTGACTCACTTTCTCCAGCTGGCAGGATGATTCAGTGTCATGTGTGGAAGGCTGCAGGGTCTTGCTTACAGGCTTAGGCAAGCATGGGCTGCCTGTGCTGGGAACACAAAATCTTGCTTCTGCTACGATAACATGAACGAGTCTCGTCTGTCAAGCAGGCTTAGACCTGTGCAGGGGGCCCTGGGAGAGAGGCTGCTGCCAGAAGGACCTGAGTCCCAAGAGATTTATCAATCCAATTCCAACAGCTCAAAGTTATTTTTTAGTGTATCATTAAAGACTAGGCCCCAAACTGTCTCTAGGCGCTCTGGGTTTTAAGGCCCAGACCACAGTTAATGCACCCAGTGGATTTCAGGCAATGAGCTGAGTGGGGAAAAGGCTGGGCAGACAGAATTAACTGTGCACGAGCCTGGTCCCAGATCCTCCCTCTGCCTGTGCTCAGAACGTATTCCTCAGTTACCCATGGCCAGAGGTGGCTCCCCAGTGGACTGATGGGGCTGGCCTGCCCCTGTAGGTCATAGGGATTGCCTGGCCCCTTCTCTGTGCGTGAACAGAGGCGAGCACAGAGCACAGACAAGCTCTCTCATTCTGAGACACCCAGCTATGTCACACAGAGATGTCAAGATCCACTAACAGCTCCTGCCACTTGCTCAGCTCCTTTCTCATCAGCTCTGGAAGGTGCAGTGCCCCCCTCCTACCCAACAGCTGTGTTCCTGGTCAGCACCTGGTGGCCTGGCTTTGCTCTTGCCAGGGTGAGGCAGGCCCAGTCCAACTGCAGGGCCAATTCAGCCCCTCAATTAAACCGATACCCAGACCACTTCAAGGGACATGTGCAGAAACCCCAGGTATGACTGCATGTTAGAGGCCCCCCTCAATCCACTGGACTGACCTCAGTCTTCCCTTGGGCTTTCCAGGGATGAGGAGCTTTTGTAAGGCCAATATGGAAAAGTACAGGGATGCCAAGTTTGTTCTGTACAGAGGAACAAATCACACCCTCAGTTCAACAAAGGACTTCTCAACCCATGCAAAGCTGCCACTGTGATCAGTAGCAAGTCTGCACCAGATCGATCACTCAACTTTTACTAGTAAGCCAAGCTACTGCAGCAGCACTCAGAAGGGAAAACACAGTGCAAGGGGCTTCTAGGACCACCACAACCATCCTCCCTTGCTTGACTGGCCACTTGCACCTGTAATCACAGTAAATGCTCAAGCAGCTTTAATATGCAGCTGTGCATGCATTTGCCCTATCAAGTTCTCAGCAAATTTAAAATCTTGAAGTCCCCTAACGAGATTTTGGTCATTGGCATGAACTGCTCCTCAGAGCTACTCCTCAGACCAGACAGGACAACATGAAGACAATATTACTGTCCTACAAAGCATTACTGTATTGCTTATTTTGACAAACCTCTGCAAAATCTGACTCTGTTATGAAAAAAAGTTAAATATAGCCAACAATAGTCAGCCAGGCTGGGTGTTTGAAGTATGAAGGCAAGGGCATGTCCTTAAGCTCAAATCTGTTTCTTCTGTATTTTTTTTTTCATTGAGTTGCCCTGCCTACACAAATACAGAAATGCCTAATCTAGAAGTGTTTGTTTTGGACAAAGCATGTTGAACTTAGCATGGACGGATCTCACTCTCCCACAGACAGCAGTGTAAATAATGCACTCCGATTACTGGTGGGAGGGACACAAGCCTCCCAAGTGGTGACATTTTTCAAGATCATATACATTTTCTCATTTCTTACCCAGCTGAACCCTAGGCCTTTCAACAATTTTTGGTATGACAAGCTAGAGAAAGGGAGAGAGAGAGAGAACAGTCAATAAATTTAATTTAACGAGCACTTCTCATTACTTATAGACGACAGAAAAGCTCCAGTTGGAGAAACTACAAGAGGCTCCTGCAAATTAATCAACAGTCCAGTGGCCAGGTCACTCGCCTGACTTGCCGTATGTGTGATTCAAAGGAAAGACGCAGCAGTCAGTGTCCCATATTTACAGAGATATGCCCTAACCCTGGGCTAATGGCTGCTCTGGGACAGATTGAATTCTTTCTTGTTTTGGCCCAGCAGAAGGTAGGGCAGCGTGGCACCTCAGGGACTAAGTAGTTCAGAAAGGCATGAGCTATCTTGGGCAACAATGCTAGGATAAGAAGAAGTAGGTTGTTGCCTACAGAAACTCATGCCTCTCTGAACTGGTTAGTCTCTAAGGCGCAACCCTGCCCTATCTTTGGCCTGTCTTCAGACCAACATGGCTAACAACAAGCGGAGCAAAGAGACTCTTTTTTTGAAAATTCCCAACCAGCACTAAACAAAATGCTAAATTCCCCTTCTCCATTTTTATGAAAATGTTTTCCCTGAGATTTCCTGCATTGCAAGAGGCAAGGAATGAAATCCTGATCTCAAAGTCATTGATACAATTCACTTCTATAAGTCTTCTGCTTATGAAAATTAATGAAACCTGACAGATGTGTAAGTGAACACTCCTAATTTTTTTATGAGGCATCTGCTTTTATTTCTACCTGTTGATAACCCAAATGCACATTTAAACCAATGTTTGGATGCACTTTCCCTACTAATATAAATCCTTGGGATTTATGTAGATACCAAACATACAGAATTAAAACCTGCAAAGCAAATCCTCATGCAACGTAGATAAGCAGAGCTCTTTAAACTTCCATAAAGCGATACCAATTAGGAACAACAGAAAATCTCAGCATACGTCTTGAAACAATGGTGTACTTCTCTGCTATTCCTGTGTAAAATGTACCGTGAATTATTCTGCATTGGTAGCATATGCAAAACACAGTGCAATCAAAAAGGAATAAAAGCGATATACTGACAAGATCAGGAGAACATCTTGTAAAACGATTTCAGCCCTAACCAGCCAAGTCTTCTCAGAACTTTTCCACGAGTCTTAAATTCTTCTGATCTGTAGACGTCAGCATTTCAATATCACTTTCCTCATTGTACAGATGGACAAATTAAGACACAAGAGGCGAGGTGACTTACCCGTGTCCACCTAGCAGAGCCAGGAATAAACCTAAGAGTCCTGCATCCTAACTCCATGCACTAAGCTATGCTGCTGATGAGAAATGATACCTGCTTTTAAAAATTAAACTTCACAGTTATTTACTTAACACCTTTACACACAGTAAAACTAACCCTAATGCTAGGAATGTTAGCCATTCTCAGAATAGTCCCCCTCCGTAGTGGTTCTCGAGACTACGATGCTCCGATGACTGCATCCACTGAGGACGCCTCTGTGGGACGATGACATCAGGTTGTACGAGTAGACAGAGGAGCTGCTCTGCTTTGACCTTTCCTCTTCCTCATCCTCCTCTTCCTCCTCCATCCCCCCAATAGGCATGAGTGTATGATGATTGAACTTGCTGCGCAGGGCTCCAATGATGCCTACCCTGTTTCAAAAGGTGCCATTATTATAATTGAGGCAAAGGCCAATTTGCTGGGGAGGGATTCCGATTTGATGTGGCAAAACTGCAAAGAAACTTTTTTGGTTGGACGGCAGGTAAAACACCACTCAAGGGAAATTCCTCACCCCCACCCCCCCCCAAAAAGACTAGCACATCATATAAATCATCCAGAGTATCACAGTAGTGTTGTTACCTAGAGAAGGGCCATGCCTCAAAGGCAACAACTGCCCAAAAAGGTCCAGAAAAAATTACACTCAGGCATCACTCACACACCACAGCCACAAAGCACCCTATCAATACAAACTCTACAATGCACTGCCAGGCAAGGGCACTGCCAGTAGCAGGACATGTCTTAGGTTAAAATAGGCTTCAGTGACTATTGAAAGAGGACCCTAACCTACACTGTAGTGGAAAGCAAAAAACCCCAGTGTTCCTTGCCAAACTGATCTGGGGAGGAAATTCCTTCCTGACTCCAAATGCCTGTTTGAGCAAGACCCTCCAGCCAGGCCCCTGAGAGATTTCTAAGACCCAGCAGCATTGGGGCATCCAAATCAAGCCCCTAATTCTAGCTGTAAAGGAAAGCAATAAAAGAGCAAAAACTGTTAGCCAAACAGCATTTATGAGGGGGAAAAAATTATTTTGGGCCCTACGGACAACAAGCAGAAATGGTAAAGCATGGAGTTACCAGATACCTCCCACAGAGATTGAGTTTTCTCTCAACCCTATCATGAGTCAAAATGATGAACTGACACATCTTATGGGCTAATTATTGTTCCAAAAACACCTCTGTCCTATAAAGTTATCATCCCGTAAACTTACATCCTGAAACAATTCAGGTTCCTTGTCCCCAGTGCTTTGCACTGGTTGGAAAGTGGAATTACTATCCCATGGGAAATTGCAACATTTCAATTTTTTTCATGCAACAGAGATTTATGAAAAAAATTAACTGGAAATGTTAAAATAACCTCACTGAAACATTCTGGTGTAATGTTAAATGCAATATATAAGTGTAATATTAAAATGAGTATTATATACAATATAAAAATCAGGGCAAAATCAGCAAATTGGCACCAATCAAAATGATCAAGGTGAAATGAAATACCAAGTTCAATTTTGAGTTCTTTCAAAACATTTCCATTAAAAATTTCATCAAATGCCACTTCACTTTCCCACAGAACATTTCACTTTGAATGAAACAGTGCTTTCCACCAGAAAACTGTCTCATCAAAATGTTTCTGGCAAACTCTTCTTCTGGCCTCCTTTTATGTTGCATTGCCTGGCTGGAAGAGCAGAACCGCAGAGACATTCACTCCACATCTACAATACTTCTTCCCCCAGACCAGTGACAGAGCAGGTGTTTCAGCATCTTCAGAACTGCCCATCAAATGGTGAGGGGAAGAAGCACAGTAGTTCTCCTGACCCTTGAGCTCCAGATAACATGCCAGGCAGAAAACGGATAGAGAAAGCATGGGAGCGTGAAACAAGCCACGGGTGTTCAGAAGGATAAATTAGACCCTATGAAACAATGTTGGCACCTTCCTAGAGGCAAGAGGAAGGTATTGACAGTGTGAGAGGAGGCCTGAGGAAGACTATGCCATTAAAGTTGCCTTAGTTGTTGCAAGTATGTTACTGCAGGTTTTTGGAGGCTACACACACTACTGCCCTTATGTACGTCCCAACAAATGGGAGTGCAGGGAGCCCAGGGCAATCCAATATGCACCTTTTAGAGTGACCATTTTCACGTCTGGCCTTTCACTAAATGGTCTCAAGCAATGAGGAAGCTCTAGAGGGGAGGGGACTCAGCGGCTCTGTCTGTGTTGCTCCAAGCCCCTTCTCTCCAACCCCTGAACTCTAGCTTGTGGGTAAGCCCCAAAGAGCTGGGCTCCATAGCAGGCAGGGAGTGCAGGCTCCCCAGCGCTTGTTCCAGCATGCAGGGGAGCTGCCTTGGTCCTGCTGGAAGCAATGTGGCTTCCCCAGAAAGTGGGGATACAGGATAGGGAGGCCGCAGAATCAGACCACTGGATCCCCTCTACCGTCTTGCCATCCATTACTTAAGCAATGTCTACAGTGCAATCACTACTATAACTACGGACCTACTTAAATCGCAGTGAAACTAAAAAATGTTCATGATTTGATCACAGCAGAAATTCTGCAGCTATTTCCCGGACGTGCTCCGCCGGCCCCGCCCCTTGGTGCCGGTTGGTGGAGAGGCCCCAATGGGGATAGAGGGACGAGCGGGCAGCCGCCATCTCATCTGCCGCTCTTGCTGCTGCCCTGCCAGCCAGTGCTTTCCCCCTGCCAGGCAGGCTGCAAAGCCAGGCCACAGCAGCAAGGACTGCTAGCTCCCACTGGGGAAGCCAGAATTTTATTTTTATTAAGTTTTTTTTTTAAGTTGCTTTCATGGACAATCCTGGATTTTGCAGTTTCTGTGAAATTGCGATTTGAGTAGACCCCTAACTATAACTGCAACGGAGTGCAGTCAGATCCAAGCTATCTGTAAACTAGGTAAGTTTGGATACTAGAAGCCATATAACTGTAACAGCTACACAACTCAGCGTGGGGAGGGAGAGAAGCCAAGCAGCAGGGTAAACTGGCTCACGTGGAGCTGTGGGCTGCTGTGGCTGGACTGCTACCAGTACACCTGAGCTACCTGCTCTGACACTAATCTGGTCCCATGTGCAACACTGACAGCTGTAGAGATGCACCCTTATTCTGACAACCCCCAGTGAGGAAAGCTCAACAACTTCTAGACCTTCTTTGCGCACCCACCACCAGCCCCCATGGAAACAGCTCCTTACTTGGGTGTAAACACAACTGCTGTGAAGTCCAGGTGGTCCTTGCTCTTGTTGGCAGGAGCGGTCCTTCCCCGGTGCAGGTAATGGTTCTGGAAGAGATACTGGGCACTGTCCTTGGGCAGGGGCAACAGTGTGCTGAGCACTGGCGAGCGCTGACCCACCACACTCATTATGGCCGGACGCCTGGCGTACACACTCCTGCAGAGAAAGCCAGTGCAAAGGGCACTTGCTTGCTGGCCCATGGTGCAGGCCCCTTCACGTGCCCCAGTAGCAAGCCACATGCTGTACCTGTCATATGGAAAGAGCACTTTCCTCTGATCAGCAGAGGCCTCTGTTGACCACTGCACTCCAGGGTACCTCTTCTCCTTCAGTGCGGGATTGAATACATCAGAGCGAAGCAGCCTGCCGATTTCCTCCTGAATCTCCTGGAAGTGTTTCCGTCTGAATGCCACCCAAGCTACATATGTGCAAAAGTTGTAGAAGCACTGAATGGGAAAGACAGACCATCATGCACGGCTGTGCAACAAACAGTGGGCTCAGCACCCTCCTATTGCAATTATGCCCGGGGTGGGGCTAATCACTCACTGACTTCACTGACGAGAGCAGAGGTCTGAGAGTGCAGAATTTGACCCAGTGTTATAGCAGATTCTTTTGTAACGTTGTCTTGGGGCAAAGGCACACAATCAACTCACCTTGCCCCTTTGTACCTTGTAACAGTCAATCAGTGTGCCTATGTCATAAGCTTTTAGAGCCAAATGTCTTGCATCCTACGTCTGTGCTGCTCTCTTCAGTGCAGTCAGTGAGTGACTAGCCCCACCCTGGGCATAACTGCAATAGGAGGGTGCTGAGCCCACTGTTTGTTGCACAGCCATGCATGATGGTCTGTCTTTGTACGTCTGTGTTTCAGTATAAGACTGATGTCACCTCACACCGATTCACTGCACTGCCATTAGGATTGAGGGGAAAAGAGGACATTGATTTTTTAAAAATACAGAGATGACTGGAAGTACAGTTTCATACTGAATGCAAACATGACCCCAGCATTTGTTCCTGCCCATGGCAGGGTGTCGGACTTGATGGTCTGCTCAGGTCCCTTCCGACCCTACTACCTATGAAACAACAGTCCCAAAAAACATCACTGTCAAATCTGAGATCATTGTTCCTTGGCAATTACAGGAGCAAAACTTTAATTTTCATGCCTATTTAGCCAGCAGTCAAATAGCAGGGACCTCAGCCCACACCGAACATGGCCCCACAAAAAAGAATCGCTGTTCAACCTGTCTTTATTAGAACACAGCATCTGCCACTCAGTGCCATTAGGATAAATCTGTGTCCTTGGAGCTATGTAAATAAGACAACTTGCCCCAGGAAGCAAATCACAATCACACACTGAAGTACCAAATACTGTACTGGTTTCAAATGGGGTGTCTATTAGTCTGGCATATGGAAATTAGCTGTCAAAATTGCACCCTGGCATATATAGGGATGGAAAGAGATTCTTGGCATCTGGAAACATTACAACATACCACAGGGAATAAAAAGGGACTGGCAAAGCCCTTAACAGGGAGAGAGTTGTGAGTCCAGGTACCAGACTCGGAGAAAACCTACGGAGCTGACTCTCTAGGGGCTGTGGAGGGCCCCAGCGAGCTTTCTGGCTCAGAGATGGCCTGGCTGAGGAGGAAACTGGAACAAAGGTAATCTTGGAGACTCCATGAGGGAAAGGCTTAGGCCAGAAGGGCCACGAGAGCCTGTATTTTGTAAAGACCTAAAAAACTGGAGTAGCTCAGAAGAAAAGGAATCCTATTTCCCTTTCTTTGGCCTGGCAACTCATAGTTGGGATAACCAGGAAGGAGCTGAAAATGGACATCCCCCTTGTGTCACAAGGGCTGTGCTCCAGGATATCAGTCAGTCACACCACCAGTTCGTAACAGGCCTTTCCTACCTCAAAGAACTCCCGGTCTTTCTGTGACGATGATGTTTTTCGCCTAAGGCAGTGAACAAAAGCACAACTTTAATAGTGAGAGCGGCATCTGCAATCTTATGAACAGCGTATTGGGCAGAACACAGAGTAACAGATCAAGCTAGCATTTCATCAACACAGCAAGCCCAGTTTCTAGTAAATCTTCTTCGTTAGTATGCACACACTCCCTTGCCCAAGAGAAAGGCAGCCTTTTCAGCACTAATACAAAATGAGAATATGCAAAATGAGAATATGCAAACGATTCAGCTCAGCTAATTAAACCTGCCAGAGCCTGACACCGGGGCCTAATGGCCAGAGGTACTCCACCCCCATTTACTTTTCTATTGCGCTCAGCCTGGGTCTAACTCTGCTCCTACTGAAAGCAAATCTCTCCAGGACATCTTGCGGGGAATATTTAGCAAGGGAGCAAAGGTAGGCCAAAGATGAGAGACTGTACTGAATGGAGCAGATTGGTAGGTGGGGTTCAAAGAAGAAATGCAAACCAGGCTGAAAAAGCTTTAGGGAGAAAGACCTTTGTCAGAGTAGAGCGACTTGCCCAAGGGAAGAGTGGCTTTGGAAGTACACTGACTCTGATATACACCCAAGTCAAATCTTTGTCATGCTGAGCCAGAGTCCTGTGCCAAAGCCCTGCAGGAGGGAAGCTTAACCTCAAAAAAGCTACTCAGTCCTTCTGCAAGGGAGAAGAGCTTCCCCTCATGAAAGGCAAATTCCCCTCACATACACACTCCTTACAGGCTCCTGCAAGATTTGGTAGATCCTACAGGCTACACAGGAAGCTCCATGTCTCTGTGCCAGCAATCAGACCTCCTGTGATTTTCTCTGGCTGCCTGACAACACTACATCAGCTGCTCCATATTGTGAGGACTTTCCAAGTGCCACAGTACATGGGCATTTCAGCTCAGAGCAGCTCACAAACGTAATATGCTGTCTGCTATCTTAATTATCTGCTGACTCTTTCACAAGCCCAGGCAGATGTTGTCCAACTCTCCCCATCTGACCCAACCCTTCATCTCCTTATCTGACCCTGCCATCTCCCCAGCCGCAGATCCCAAACTCCCTGAGTTAGGCAAGGCAGGCGAGGTGGCACCAAAGGCAGCTGACTCCCTCTTGCAGGGGAAGAGTTTAAGGAATACTGGTTAAGCACCATAGCCTATCATAACTGCAGAGATCCATAGTTTAGCACCCTTTCTTACTTGTCCATACCTGCAAGGCAGAGTAAGGCACAAACAGTTTGCCTTTGACATTTCCTATGGTATTAAGCTAAATGACCTCTTAAGGGCTGACTTGATCTTTTAGCCTTGACATAGCTTGTGCAGTGACCTCAAGGTTCCCTGCATTCTGGGAGAGCTGTGCAATGGAAACTGAAGACAAGTCAGTGAAAAAGGCCCTTCAGTTACAGCCAAGCAGGGCCATGTGCCTCCATCTCTCTCCCCTCCACCACTAACCTTCCCAGGAAAAGGACAGAAGAGGAGGTTAAGTGCTCAAGGTTTATGATTAGGAAGAGCCTGACAGCATTTCCTTGATGCAGGAAGTTCCTGTGTCCAAGGCACTCTTGCAGCTTAGCTAAAAAATGTAGATGGGTTTAGGAAAACAGTCTGTCTTCAAAGAGTTTGGGACAAAGCTTGTAAGAAACAAGTGAAGGGATTGTAGAAAAGTGGGGCTGGAAGGGACCTCATGAAGTCATCTTGTCCAGCCCTTTGCTCAGCTTATCCCTGACTAACCCATCCCAGCCAAGTGTCTGTGTCACCTGCTCTTGAAAATGTCCAGGGATGGAGATGCAACAACTTCCCTCTAGGTAGCCTGCAAAGAGTGAGCGGGGAGCAAACCAGGCACTAGTATGATGGAGTCTCTAGACCTGTCAGTGTGTCTAAGAACTAATGCTTCAACTAACAAAGCCCAGGTACTGCATTAAAACACAAGCACAGCATCTGCAAACTTCAATGAAAGCCAGCATCCTGCATGCAGGCCCCACTAAAGAGAAGTGTTTCCTGTACCATATTACCAACTCTCTCCTGCCCTGACAAGCATTTTATTGACTGGGGGCCAACCCAGGACCATAAGAGTCCTCGATGAGCTTTGCCCATGTTTGTGCAAATAATGCATGTGCCTTTGAGAATACGAGGCATTTTTCCCATTATGACAAAGCCCCTGAAGGAAATTGGCATCATTAAAAACATTGCACAATCCGTTCCACCCGTTTGAGAAGAGAACGACAGCCACACCTATTCCTTCCTCAGCAGCAGAGGCATAAAAGGACTAATGCTGATGCATGTAAATAATAGGTCTGCTGGGGCTCCTTCAAACTCCAGTCTGAGATAACATCAAACTGGGATTTTTAAGCTGCATTCTACAAATGCCTCAATTGTTAAGTCACATACGGATCCCATTTGAAACTCATACTCTTCTTCCATAAAATCATGGAAAAAAGTCGGGCTGGAAGGGACCGGGACCTGGACCTAGACCTGGACCTAGTCCAACCCACTGCCTAAAGAAGGGTTATCCCTATTCAAACCATCCCATACAAATCCTTGTCTAATCTACTAGTTGAACTACACAACGTTGTCACACAACCACACGGCATAACACCCAAACCTGCCACAAGTAAAGCAGGAAGACCATGGTAGTCAGTGTCCTACTGCTACATGGATTATTAAAATATTGTCAAGAGAGCAAAGAAAGAGCCAGAATAAGCTCCTTGCTTAATTTCTAGAGAAAACTCCTGACCAATCAATTATTTGCTGCCTGCATATGGAAAATCAGTAGACCTGGGCTGGATACAAATTGCCCATACCATGCAAAATTTTCAAGTTGTCAAAAAAAAAATTCCCATCCTGAATCAAGATAGAAAGTCAAAATCTTGAAAATACTTTGAACCGTCAACATGAAAACACTTTGCTGGGCAGAGGAATAATTTCATTTTAATACCTTCACCGTGCATTTTGATCTTATCGATTGTTTAGCTGTAATTAATGTGGATTTCCAAACATGAAATTATTTCACAATCAAAAACAGATTGTTTCTAAAGTGTCCAAGAGGGACATTTCAATAATTTTTCCACTGTTTTATCTAAAAGATGTTCTAACTAATTTGTTTACCAAAAGGGACCCTTTTCCCATGTTTTCCATTTTGAGAAATTGGTATTTTCCAACAAAAGCATCTCACTGAAATTTCCCACCCACCTCACCCAAATAGGCAATGCATGTTGATTAGAGTTGCATAATACTTTTTAGTCTAGAAGGCTTAGGGAGTTACCAGGGAGGATGCAGCCAACACTCAAAGACCGAGTCAGTTTTGGAAGGACTGTATTTATCTATTCACATATTTGCAAAATGTATGTGTGTGATCTATCATGGAGGGACCCATCACTAAGGAACAGGTGTGGATATGGCACTATTTTCAAAAGCACTTAGCATTGGCTACACTGTGCACCCACTAGCAATGGTTACAATTCCCCCATAACTAATACTGGAAATGGATATTTCTTCTCATCCCCCCTATGGAGCTTCATAATGGGGCCCCCATTCTCTTCAGGGCTTCAGGGTACCATTTAAAGCAAATATTAATACCTCATGTTGATCCCTTATTACCTATTGTATAACCCTCTCTTTTTATAGCAACAACCCTGCACCTTGTCTTCTATCAGGCAAAAGAAGTGAGGGAATTGGCTCCTCTGATTTGTTGTGAAGGAAACGGTGTCCTAGTGACGACAGTGGGGGTATTAGTTTTTCAATATAAGCAGCTCTAGCTGACTTAGGCAGGAAGGCCCACAGGCCAGGTTTTGCACCCGCAGCATTTGGAGCTGTACTATCCTGCCTGCTCCAACAGGAAGGAGGAATGGCCAGTGCAGCACTGCCCAATCAGCAAGACACTTAAAATAATCCCCACGTCACTCAGTGCAGTCAGTCCAGAAACGCAAGTGCAGTACACACAATGTTGGCATGCTCCTCCGGTCCCAGAGGATGAGCTGACCCTATCCAGGAGGCCTGCAGTGGGCTCCTTCCTCTCCTCTTCATCACCAAGAAAGCCCCTTCCCCACTTCCCCCACAAGAGGAGGAAGCCCCCTCCCTGCCCTCTAAGTACATGGAAGCGACTCTGAGGCAGAGGGTAGGAGAGTCAGAGAGTGAACCTGGGATTTGCCAGCAGAGGAGCTCAGCAGATGACTGCAGAAGGCCGCAGGTTTGCCTGGGGCAGTTCCCACACCCTGAATTTTGATGCTGAATTGTCTCCTGTCAGCTTCCAGGGGAAACTCATCATGCCCTGGAGAGCTGTGCAGCGGCGCTCTGCCACTTCCATCCCAGGGAGGTGTGCTTCTTGATGTATTACACAGATGCAGTCTCTTACCTTTCTCCTCCTAAAATGTACTGACCTTCACACCTTCTAGCAACCACTGCCCCTAACCATCTGCCCTAAGGACGCAGAGGTGGCAAATTATGCCTAGTCAGTTGTGCCGGGCTCCATCAGGACTTTATGGTTCTTCGAGCCAGCGACACTTCCACAAACCAGGCACAAAGCCCCGAGGGAGGGATCCAAAGCCCTGCTGCAGTGTGTTGAAGCCACACCACTTTATTGAAAACTGAAGTCACACACATTTAGAGGTGAAAAGATACCAGGCAGATGCCAGGCCCCAGACACTCTCCAAATCCTGCCTTGTGTTCCTTTGGCCCTGTCCAGTAGTTTCACTCCTGCAACAGTTATATACAGATGCTCACTTGGATTGTGTTATTGTGGGCATCTGTCTGTCACAATATGTAGGCCCACGCACAATGGCTCCTCACAGTGGCAGATGTTACCATAGGGGAAAGGTTTCAGTGGCCATCCCAGGCATTTCCTTACTTGCCGCAAGCCATGTGATGCTGATCAGCCATTCCCAGTCCAAGAATGAGGATGCAGTATATCTTGGCAAGCTGTGTCTTGGCTATGGAGAGCTTAACTAGTGCCTCCTCCATGTCCTTTCTTTCTAGCAAGTTCAGAGTCCTGTTAAAATTATATAAATAAAAAAAAGCCTTTAGGAAGGATGTACTATTTAGAAGAGATGCTTCAAAGTGTGGCAGTTGTTTCAGAAAAAAATGCATTTGTTCCTCTGAGCAAACCCTCATGAGGCACAAAACCAGCTCTGGAGAGCCCATTTGTTACAAGACTGATTTCAATGGCTTTCTAGGCAGCTTTGTAATGCTGGTGGGGCAACACAATATCTCTGGGTGTAAGTCTCTCTGGGCATTTATAGACTTACATTTTTCTATGTTAAATCCAGAGTACAGCCATCACTATATGCATGTGAACATCTGTAGTCTGAATTGAAACTGCCATGGTGCTGGTCCACATGTCAGATTGGGCCCCAGGTGCCAAAATCAGGCCCCACACTGCATCCGCCCAGCTCCATGCTGCCTTACTCATCCCTGCACTTCTGGATTGCACTGCTTCTGCAGGCCTTGCACACCCTGGTCAGCACAGTACCACCCTGCCCAGCATGCCATGATCAGACTGCACCATCTCCACCCAACCTAGCACACCAGGACTGGCCAACACTGCCTTCACCTGGCCCAGAGCATCAGGATCAGGCCCTCCGCTGCCACCACCAGGCCCTGTGCATGCAATATAGTGCACAGGGCCATGTTACCCAATCTGCAGGGCTCCCCACAGGTCTGGAAATTTGGCAGCAGGGGAGAAGCAATTTTTGGACCCAGAAGCAGACTCCCAGGTTGCATGACATGGAGCTGGAGGTTCAGCACCCCGATCTAGCATATGATTGTCATAATGCAACTTGTTTATAATACCTAATCATCAGGTAGACACGTATTTTAAACGACCTAGACATGGCAATTTAAAATAAAAGTGACCCAAAATAAAGTGACCCCAAATACAAGAACATTGTTTAGGCAGGAGACAACACATAAGAAACCTCATGCATGATCTATTAGTTTTAAGGATGCTAAAGTCCAGCATATAATGGAAAGCGACTTTCATTGCTGGAATTTCTATTGTAGCTCCATAACATATGGGTCATTAACTTGCCTGGGCACTGGGAAATACCGGCCTTCTGCTGGTTACCAGAGTTGTGGCAAAACCTTGCTGCAAGACAGGGAGGGGTTCATACTTTGCAAGCTGCCAGTGAGTTAACCTCTTACAGAAGGTTCCTTGCTTTGAACAGCTCTTGCAAGGTGACACTGGTGAAATCATTTGATTACTTGAGGCCGCATCCAACAAATACACACAGCTGGGTGCACTGCTAACTTCTATGACTAGTTCCAGGGTACAACATGCTACACATCAACTCTGATATAATCGTCCTTTACACTGAAATAAATGTGGCGTGAACACATAACAGACAGCCCAATGCCAGCACAAATCGCTCCCCTGGGCTAAAATTAGACCTCAGAAAGTCAGAAATAACGACACATTGATGTAAGTTACACTGGTATCTGCAGCCTTAGCCGATTTCATTCAAAATAGCCCTTTGCTCCATGCAAAAAACCTATTACTGGGTCATGCCACCTAGTGGCAAGATATTGTAATCGCAACAAATGGAACCAGTTGCTTCACTCCAGACGCTGATGCAACTTATTCTGATGTACAAACTGATGTAAACTACATCGGTGTAAATGTCCCATGTCTTTGCATTCTCACTAAAGTAAAGGGCATAATATTTTTCCAAGTGACTGTATTAAGCACAGTACCTATACCAACCAAGTAAGAGCTAGTCTGTGCCTTGAAGTCTGAATAGACAAGGCAGACAAAAGGCAGGTAGAAGAAGTACCAGGCTCGGAGATGAGATGAGTGTTTTTGGTATCACATGTGCCTACAGGAGCAGGTCCTCAATCTTTAACTCTATTAACTGTGCCAATATATGCCAGGATTGCTAAGCAGCCCTGCAGAGCCTTCCTTGTGGACAGCAGATCAATGCCTCCAAACAGAACCAGAAGTGGGAAATATACCCTGTATATCTCAGGAGTGTGATCGTTCAGCCTTTGCACATGGGTAATCCCTACTCAAACGTGCATCCTACTGGAGCCATGGGGCTCTCCCTGGAGGAAGAATTTCCTGTGTGAGCAAGGGCTTGCAGGATCTGCCTGTGCGTCCTTACCTTCATAGAGGTCTCTTACTTACCCCATTAAAGATTTCGGTTTCTTTTCCAGTGCGATTTTCTCCAGAAAATAAGACAAGTAGTAAAGCAGAGCCATGAGGAATTCATCAAGCTGTCTACTCCTAAACAAAAGTTAAGAAGATCGTTGTGACACCTGACATAAGGGTTAAAGGTCCTTGCCCCTAACAAGCTACAGGCTGCTAACACACCCTCAGACTTCTTACCCTGAGGAGTCTTATTTGTAGCGAGCACTAGACTCAATAAAAAGGTTTGTGGGTCCTTATGGAAACACTGTCCAAGATGCCTACGTTCAAGAATGTATTACAGGACACAGGCCTCCAGAAATAGATTGGTTATAAAACATATAACTTCTGCATCTGAAATCCTCTTGCTCTGGGCAGTAGGGCTATGCGAAATTTCGCTGGCCATTTTGTTTCGCCACTGTTTCAACTCATTTTGAGGTTGAAACAGCAAAATCAAAATGAAACAAAGGGCTTCGAAACAGCCTAGAAACAAAACAAGGCTAGTCGAAACGTTTCGACCATAGTGTTGGGGATGGGAAGTCAGTCCAGCTGGGCTGAGTTCCCATCCCCAGTGCCATCATCACGCTGGGGAAACTCAGCCCAGCTGGACTGACTTCCCATCCCCAGCCTGATCATAACACTGGGGATGGTGTGGTGAAGTGGGCATCCCTGGCTAGCCTCAGGGCTAGTTTCCTGCCTTTCGGCACACCACCCACCTGTCTCACCCGCCATGCCTTGTTGTTAATTAATAATGTTGTTAGTTAAGGCAGGAGGCTGCCCATTGTTACACCCTGATATTGATGGGGGCTATCCGCGGCTCCGTTCCACTCCTACACCACGGCCCAAGCCTTGCAGATGGCATCTCAGGCAGTTAGCTCAGCCTTCACCCATTAGCTGTGGCCTCCAACCCTGGGGACCTTCAGCTTTCGTAAGCCCTGGCACCATCTCAGGCCCAGTTGGGACCCCGAGCTTCTTAGCTCTTTGTGGGCGTCCCTCATGGTGAGCCCCTGGCCCTTTTGACCCTTTGGTCCTGGCCCCAGCATTGACCAGTCAAGTACCTCAGTGGGGTTTTTGCCTCCTGCCTGCACTTAGGGATCAGGATTCCCCCATTCACGGCTCAGGTGCTCCTGGAAGTGTGCCTGGCCCTGCGTGGTCACACCCCCAACAGGCTCAGGCACCTCCAGAAGCTTACCTGGCCTATGCTGCTCTGATGTACTATGACCCACCCAAAGATGAGGGCTGGGGTTAAGGTGCCCCTACTTGCCTTTCACCAGGGTAGTAACTGGTCTGGCAGTTCCTGGGGGCTCCCACACCACTGAGAGCCCCACCAGGCCACTCACTCCCAGCAAGGTGCAGTTTTAGGTCATGCCCAGGACCAGGAGCCTCCAAACCATCCCCTACAGCTCCTGCCCTTACCTCCAGGACGCTCCAAGCAGCCTTGCAGCCAGGCGATGTTACTGCCTGCCCTGCCAACAGCAAACTGCCCTGTTTATATAGGCAGCCATGGATCAAAACTGGCTGCTGCAATTAAGCACCTGTTGGCCACTTGGCTGGGCCCTTAAAGTGGCGGGTACGCCCAGTCAGCTGGACTGACTTCCCATCCCCAGTGCTATGATCAAAACGTTTCAACTTTTGTAACATTTCGACTAGCCTCGTTTTGTTTCGAGGCTGCTCCAAAGCCCTTGTTTCATTTAAATTTGTTTCGTTTCAAGCACCTACTCTGAATGCCTTCAAGAGACATCTGGAAGTTTATCTTGCTGGGATCCTATGACCCCAGCTGACTTCCTGCCCCTGGGGCAGGGGGCTGGACTCGATGATCTTCCGAGGTCCCTTTCAGCCCTAATGTCTATGAAATCTATGATTTTGCTGTTTCGACCTTGAAATGAGTCGAAACAGTGTTGAAACGAAACGGCTGGCAAAATTTCACACAGCCCTAGACTTCCCATCCCTGGCCAATCTAGCAAAACGTTGAAACAGAGTCAAAAGAGCCTCACTGTTTCAACGAAGCAAAACAGAACAGCTGTTTCGAATCAAAATTAAATTTGAAATGAAACACTGTTCTGTCAAAACCTCGAAACAAGGGCGAAATGGAATGGTGCCGTTTTGCACAGCCCTACTGGGCAGTATGGAAATCATTTACTGCTAACAAAACAGAAGCAAACTATGGTACCAATTGCTCATACTCAGCCATGCTAGCCAGAGTGCCAGCAACACAGACCCCAAGGCCCAAAGTTTTAAAAGGCAGTTCAGTGGGAATTCCACATCTAAATACCTCTAAAATCTGAGCGCATTTTACAATCTAAGCCTTGACCATTAAAACATAGTAAAAAGCCTTGCATGAGGATAAGATAATGAATTCTCTGTCCATTTCAGGGCTAAAATGTATTTGGTAGCATCTTCTACCAAACTCTACCTTTGGTAGAGAAGGGATTTTAAACCTCTAGTATTTTCCTCTCCACACTTTACAAGCTCTAAATCCAATGCCAGTAAAATGCAAACACAAAAATACTTCAAATTCCAAGCTGCCTACCTCATAATTGTTGTAAAAGAGGATATATGGTATGATCCATTTTCTTGTACTAAAAACAGAGCAGCATCTGAAAATACACAGAGGAAAAAATGTATGTTAAAAATCCAGTAAAAATCAACCTTTCCAAGAAATTTTAAAGGATTGTTTTGCAAATATCTTGTTGATCTAATAAAAAATATTATCTCTACTATGAGCCCTAACCTTTTCAAGAAATACTTTTCCAAACTGTAAGAGTAATAGGGTATTGAAATAAAATTATGTAAATTGCTCACATTTAACATCATCCAAGGTCACATATTCTTTTTGTCCACGTTTTGAGAGCCTGGGCGATATCTCTTCTACTGACTTTAATCTCTTCTCAGGGAATTTTGCACCAAACAGTTCTTGAAACATAGTGGGAGTTGACCTGCAAACACCATTTGAAACACGCTGCTCATTCCCCTCGTGTTATACATGCTTGTTGTTAACACCTGGAAGGTTTTCTCTTTAGCTGATTCAATTCCAAGATGTAAACTGGCAGTTAAAAAGCTCTTAATAAATACCCTTCACTTTCTGTTTCTTTCATTAAACTGTTAGCATCCCTAAACATGCTTTTCCAGGTTGGCCGTGTTCAGTGAACCAAGATTCTTCAGCTCCTAAAATCATTTCTGATTGTGGCTCTTTCACTTGGGAGCAGAACAACATTGTGATGATACTGCATAGGTTTTAAAATGGTTTAAGTTAAGGACAGTTAAGATGACAGTGACTTTTGCCACTTTGTACATTTGAAAAATAAATCATAAGTCATAACAACAGTAATAATAATACATTTTTGAAGCACTTTACAAAGATGAATGAATTAATCCATCCTCACAATAGTCCCCTCTGCGGACTAGTATTCTTTTTTGATCCTAAGATCTGGAAACAGAGGCAAAAATGTTAAGTGATTTGCCCAAGGTCATGCCAAATCAGTGTCAGGGCTCATTTAGCCATCAGGTATATCTGCCTACTACGCTCATCCCATTCTACCCTCAACCCCTCACCCTGAATAAACTACTGAAATGGCCAATTTTTTTTCTGTCCAACCTACTTTGTTAGAACAAGGCAAAATATATAGTCCTTATGACTCCCACCCTAATAACGCTGTCTCAGTTTTAATTAAGTGAGGGTAAGCTGGAATACCTGTCTGCTGTTTTACTACTCATTTCCTGAAAATGGATTGCTTTGCCCTTCTTGAGTTTCTCTTTAGCATCAGGTGCTGGGGCAAAGCTGTAACACACAAAAATACGGATGTTTAGGAACAGAAGCAGCAATTGTTAATGACAGTTCAAAGAGTTCAGTGTTCTGGAATATAATGCCCATGAGTTTGGGCCACCATATGACAATGAAAGAAGACAGAGGGAGGATATCAGAGACAGCTTTTAAGTACATTGAAAGATAGGACTAGAAGAGTCACTGATGCCAGGCCCTTGCTATCAGAGACCAGATCATAAATCCCTTCCATGAAATAAGAAAACCCTCTAAAAAGTAGGTAGGGTTTTGCTCCCACCCCTCCTCTTGGGAGGCTATTCTAGAATCTCACTCTCAGAGTGATGCTGCAAACCTTCTCTTAATTCCCAGGCTAATTTATTCATGCCCAGTTTATACATGTTTGTTCTTGTGCTAATGCTGTCCTTCAGTTCAAATTGCTCCCTTCCCTCCCTGGGGTTTACCATTCAATATATTTATAGATAGAAGTCACAACCACACGCAGCCAGAACTAAACAAGCCATGCTTTTTCAGTTTCCTTTTGTTTGAAAAGTTCTCCATTACCCTAAACCATCATTGTGGCCTTTCTCTGTCTTAATTCCAGTTTTGAATTCATCTTTCTTAAACAAAAAGGTAGAGATAATATCCCAGATGAGGTCCCATCAGTGCTTTGTACAATAGCGGAGCTATTTCCCTGTCTCCACAGGAAATGTCTCCCCTGATACATCTGCTTTGTTCCTGGCTGCATCACCTGGGTGGCTCATAGTCACCTTGTGATCCACTACAGCATGTAGGCCCTTCTCTTCCTCAGTTGTTTCCATCTGGGGAGCTGACAGCTTTTGCTCCCCAAAGAGAGTCATAGAAGGAGAAACCATTTGGTGGTTTCCATTATGCCACTATTTTTACCTGCCCCAGAGAGCCCTGAAAGGTGAAAGAGCCTGGGGGGTGTATCTACCCCCTGTCCCCCAGGCTCTCAAGAAGGAAGCAAACCCTGTCCACATGCACCAAAAGTGGGAACGTGGCAGTGATCTGAAGGCACCCCCAGCAGCCACTCTCAAGACCCTGTCTCAAGTGTTCTTGAAAGCAGAGATGGAGGACACCCTGGAGAAATTTCTCCACATTTCTAGGTTGAGTACATATGAACAGGAGCAGTGTAACCATCCCTGTGATACAAAAGTTGCTTCCTAAATTCAAGCCCACTCCATGAAATTGAGAATAGGACAGAGCTTCTTGAAATCAAGAAGAGGGCAGGGAGATGGGTCTATGCAGGAAAGGCCTGACCCCCTAAGGAAGACTGGAAATATGCAAAGGAGGCAGAGGGGCAGCCAGAAATCACGTGCCTGACTCCTAACAATTACCTGCTCTACATGGCCCACATACTGCTAGCTGCTCAAAGAAGGAACAGCCGACTTGTATTGTTTTTCTGTTGATCCAAATGTGTTTTCCTGTTGGCTCCGTACAGTATTAATCCAAAATTGCCATGCAAATATAAAAAGCAATTATACATCAAAGCAATCTTTCCATATATGAAGTAGGTGGTTCTATTTAACTATATTTCTTAGATGCTTTGGGAGTACTGGGCAGATCTGCACATGCATATGAATGCGAAGCAATAAACTCCAGCACATATCACACCAGAGTTTACTGCCCCCTCGGTGCTGTGTTTACAAGCACATCTGGGACCACAGCACATCGTGCTGGATTGGAGCACCCCCAGCTGGCAAAGTCTGGGGGGTCAGCCTGCCAGTCCAAGGCCGCTCCAACCTGGCTCAACGTGCTCCAAAGGGGCTGGCTGGGGCACAAGGGTGCTTCAGTGCAGGGCTAGGTGGCAAGCAGCCCCCGCACTGAAGCACCCTCATGCCCCAGACAGCCCCATCAGCATCTGCTCTGGAATAAAAAACTCGGCTACACAACAGTACTTGTATTTACAAGTACTAACCTACAGCAAGATTCATTGTTTCCTGCAGTCTAATAGCACTGCACGTATAGATGCTGAGATGTTTGCTGTGGAGTTAATCAGGCAACCCCAAAGTAACCATCTCATTTAAACGCGCCCACTCAGGATCACACACATCATTGGCATCAGTGGGCACAGCTCTACTGGCTTCGACGAACTGCACTTGCATACACTGGGTTTGAATTTGGCTCTTGACTTTCTGCGGCGTCTCCCAGTCACACGGGCATCTGACTAACGAGCCTTGCTGTGCATTCATAATGAGCCCAGTGTTGTGCATTCTGCTGAAGAACAATATTGATAAATAGCACTAACGTATTCATTTCCATGCCACTTTTCCCTTTCCATGAACCTGTTGGGATGAATGATACAGAGGAGAGGTGCAGAAACTATTCTTTCAACAGGAGAAGCACATGTATAGGGTCTGGTTCTGAAGATCATATTTAGGCAAAGCTCCTGTGGGATCCAATTTTACCTGAGTAAGGAGTGTGTGGGATCAGGACCTAAGCATCTACATCTTTAAATCATAGCTTTAAATGCTTACCTTGCAAATTCAAGTGTGTTGGTGTCATCTTTCCAGAACCACACCCCTGGGGTGACTTTCATCATCTACACAAATTAAAAGAGAATATCATATGTAATGAAATATAATTCAGGCATATCCTCATCCCAGTTCAACAAAGTATTTAAGACACAACCCCTGTGTATTTAGGCCACTGGTTTTTCTTTCTTGACCTTTCTTTTCACTCGCACGTTGCCAGGAAAGTTGCTGAGGAGTGGTCCTTGAGTCAGGCAAATACAGAAATGGTTACAGTGCAAAAAGAGAGCCCACAGATAGCAGATTAATAGTATTAAAAGAACTAAAAGTGTTGGTGGAATCTTTCATTCTTTGATGTCTAAAGAAACTATGAAAATGGAGCTACTAACTGGAGAAGGAGTCTGTAGTCAGACTCTTTAAAAAATAAATTTTTTGGTTTGGATTTGGTAATATCTATTGCACATAAATGACTAAGATTCAGGGGGGAAAAAAAACCTGTTGTTAACATTTCAGCAGAGCCCATGTCCATTTAAATGAAGACTAAGAATTAACAATAAATATGATTTAGACCCCCAGGAATCCAAAAAAGCTAGAAAAGGCAACATTTTACATGCTTTTTATTTCCAACATGAAAAACAAGTGGGGGGTGGCAGGGAAAGCTCTGGAAGAAAACAAAAGAAAACCTTTCTGTCTTTCTTGTAAATCACTTTGTAGCCAAATTTAAGATAAAATGCATCTTTTTCCCAGAGCCCTTTTTCTGCGGCTGGGGAAAATGAGTTTAAAGCAGAGTTAGAATTAAGGCTTTCTGTAGCTTTTTGCCAGCTAACTAACCAGTCTTACAGAAGCAAATCCCTGTATAACAGTGTCTCACACACCCATCTCTAATATCTCGGCTAAGTGATGAATATGAAACATGAAAATAATTTAGTGTTCACAAAAGCCCTGCTATAAACACAGAACGGGGACTCATCCGTTCTCTGACTCTGAGCTGGGGTATGATCTTAGCTTCTCTGGGTTTCAGTTTCCCCGTTGGCTTCATGAGACAATACCCACCTTTTCGTAACACTTTGCAATCCTGTGACGAAAGGACAAAAGCAGTGTCTTTGCATATACGTGCACTTCCCTTACATTGCACTTATATGGGGTTATAAACCAAATCCGAGACTGAGCAGAAGCTGCAGTGATGCAAGAGGTGGAAACGTCGGATTCAAGGACAGGAAACGAGCCCAGGGAGTATCTGCCGGTACCGTGCCTCCAGATCACACCAGGACCGAAGCTCCCGGCTGCTTGCGGGAACACGCGGTGCGCTCTGCCTGCCCGAGGTAAACACCGTTCACCCCCATTTAAAGAGGCGCAAGCCCGGGTTGAGTTACTCGCCATATCAATTCAAAAGCTTCGGTGCCACAAAAGGGTATTGCAACGTTCTCCCGTCCCCGCCGCTTTTTAGTTACCAAAGTACGCGTTCCTCAGCGCTCAGCCGAGTCCTCAGTTATCGCCTTCGAGAAAGCGAAGACAATAAAGTCTCCGTCACCTTGCAGCCTTCTAGAAGCAGGTTTCGTCTTGGTCAGCCGGGTCGCGGTTCCCAGGCCATGTCCGTGCCTCGAATCCCTGCTGGCCTTTCTGCGCTCAGGCTACTTGGAGGCTCTATTAGGCCTGTGGGAGAGACACAAGGAAAGGACATAACTCAGATCCGACATGAGCCTCCTTTTCTCTTTGCCCCGTCCACCAAACTCCCGCCCCAACGCCGCCATGCTGCTGGGGCAGCTGGAGGGTGGCCGTGCCTGGGAGACTCGCCGGGGCCTGGCAGTTCCCGAGAGCCGGGCTGGGCTCTGAGAGATTGTTTACTGCGGTAGCCTGGTAACAGGCTCCATTGTCCCCCGAGAAACTACAAGTCCCAGCCTGCCGTCTCGCACTTTCCCATGGTGCTGCACTGTACACTGGGGTTTGTCCTCTCTTGGCTCTTCATCCTGGATGTGCCTGGCAGCTCTCCTGGGGCCACCCTATTACCAGGGCTGGGGAACATTGCATTATGGAGGCAATAACCTCTCTGCAGCCAGTCAGCCTGTCTGCTACGTTGTTCTTTGGAGGAGAGTTTGGCAAATGCATGATTGCCATGGCATGATACTCGCGTGGGGCCTGATGTAAAGGTAGCTCGATGATGGCACAGTGCTTCGAATGCTAATTTTATTCTGGCTTGGCCTTGGCAGGGTTTGAATCTGTGTCCACCAAAAACAACAGGACAAAGTGCTTGTTTGCTGAGCGTCGAAGTGTCCGTTCACGACTGCCCTCTCAAACCATGTGCAGGACACTAACTTTGGCTGGCAGAGCAGGATTTTGGGAGGGTGTGACTTTCTGCAACACTGTTATGCCAGCAAAGGCCTGGTGCAGACAAAGTTATACCAGATAGTGGAGAGCCTCACATAGAAACACATCAACCATTATGGCTCACTTTGATAAGGGAACTGTTATAAGCTATGGTGGCAAAAGCACTTTGCCAGTCTAAGCAGATGAGTGTCAACACCAGAAGAGTTTTGCCAGCATTGACAGTACCACAAAAGGTTTAAGTACAGAGTAGGCTTCAAGTGCTGACTGATGCGATGAAAGCATCCGGGGGTGGTCCCAGCCACTTCCCGGGGAAGTGGCTAGACAGAAAATCATGGGTGCTGCGCTATATATCTTCTGGCCAAACATACTTATTCATTCTTTTAACATACCCACTTAAACATGTGTTTTAGCTATGCTATCTGCAGGAGATAACATAGAGATAACAGGAGAATAAAAATATATACTGTATGCAAACAGATCGGTCCGGGCTGGGCCCGGAGCACCACACCTCTTTGGGCAGGAATGGGACAGGCTCAGCTGCACGGGGCAGGTGGCAGTGGCCCAAGGGGGGGCGGCAGGCTTGGACAGGGGCACTTGGCGGGATGGCTACAGGAAAGCTATAGCCCCCCCCAGCCTTCCCCCTAGCGCCGCCCCTGAAAGTGTCTGAGCTCAGATTTATGGACAGCTCAGCTGGATCATTGCATACACAGTCAGTGCAGCCCATTCACTACCGCAGTCAAGCTTTTAACTGCAGAGAGGGCTCTTGCCAGAATTATTGAGACATTCATGACTTATGTGCAAGGCAATAAAAAATGCCAGAAAGCTTTCCTGCCAAGCACTGAAGCGTCAGCCCTGTGGACAAAAGCTAGCATGAAACAAGCTGCTTCCCTTCACTAACTCCCCCCTCTGCCCTTAGAGAGACTGCACCGGTTCAAGGGTAACTACAAGTCTTGCATGACCTTTAACGTTCCTCTACCCAAACATGCTCGTCCCATGCCTGACTCACAGAAAGCCCTGAACCTTCCCGAAAATTCAGTCCTGCCTCAGCTCTCTGCAGTGACCTTTTTTGACAATTGTATTGTGTTTGTTGTTTTCAGTTGCTATCGCAGGCTGCCAAAGATATTTTGGTGGCTTGGCAGCAGCGCCACATATTTTATCAGGATGAGAGAGGCAGGTTCGGGAACAACCTCAGATCTCTCCCATCAGAGGAAAGCAGAACTCAGGGGGCTTGTAGAGATAAGAGGCCTAACAGGGGAGAACTGGAGATTTGGAAACGATGGCTCTGCTAGATGGTATTAATGCAGCCTTGTCATCAGCTTTCAGTCCTTTGAGCTAAAGTAAAAGCCACATCAAAAGAACTGACCGAATTAAGGGCAGGACTGCAGAAGGAGAGGGAGGGAACGTGCCGTTGCAAGACTGGAAGGAGGCAGTGCAAAGAGAGCCCACAGATAGCAGATTAGTAGTATCATCATCCCAATGCGAAACCAGCAATCCAACCGAAGTAGAGAGACTCCTCTGCCTTTACAAAGTGCTTCTAAGCCAAAAACACAAACTGCTTTAGAAACAACAATGGACGCAAGACTCCCAACACCTCTGCGAAACATCAGCACTGCCAGTTTGCAAATGGAAACACTGAATACCAGAGAGCAGAACGACCATGCAGGACCTCTGTTGCAAAGCTGGAGGTGTAGGCCATATCCTCTTCACTGAGCTTTTGCCCGACAATCCTCCCTTTAAAGCTTTAAGATATTTCCCAGCATCTTTTTTCCCCCAGATATTTTTCATTAGTAATTTAAATTTCACATCAAAAAAGAGCGGGGTAACACTGGCCACTAGCCTCCCTTTAAAAAATGCTACTGAATTCTGGATTTGGATGCATTGCAATCAACAGCAAATAAATTACTGGGTTGATAGATACATAACTCAATGGTATATAGTATGTTTTAGATTGTTTCTTTTCTACCAGCTTATGTTTTTGCTGTGTCAGGGCTGCAACAGGCTGCACATAAGGCACCAGGCCAAAAGTGCTACAGAGCCAAACACTTAAAGGAAATTTTTAGTGACCAACTCTCCATGCTACTTGCATCAGCCCACGGGCAGAAATTTTCAAAGAAGCGCAGCAGGTTAAGACATTTAATTAAAGACAACGATGAGCTCAGGGAGAGCCTTGAAATTCCTTCAGAGCTTTCTGCTGTGTAAGCAAATCCCGGCTTCGGTCAAATCCCAGCTCGGGACAGATCACACCTGGCTGACAGCTCCTTAGTGACTCCCTTGCGAGGGGGCCCTTCGGATACCTCTCTTCTTACAGGAGGAATTCCCCCTCTAGCACAGCTCCCACAGAACTGCCCCTATCCTCCCTTTCTCTCCCCATATACACGGTGCACAGATGGATGGGGACAAGGCTGAAACCTTAGTTATCTGTGACTTTGCTGCATGGATACTGGTGCCTTTATCCATTTCACCACTGAAGATCCTGGTGGATCTAGTACTGACGCCGTAGGACAGAGGTGTCCAAGATGTAGCCCGGGGAGCTGGCTCACCCAACCTGCAGGGATCCTAGAGAGGGCAAAGGTTTGGGGGGAGGGCCTACTGCTAAATTCTCAGCAAGGGAGGACTGGAGCTACAGGGGGTGGGGGCAAATGATGGCTGCATGAAACCCCGTGCCACCACTGCCAGATCCAACCCATGATCCAGATTTGACCTGTAAGGAGCCCAGGACCCAGCTTGGGGCCCAGATGAGTTTGATATCCCTGACCTAGACTGGAGGTGCCCAAGCTGGGGAGAGGAAACAGCATTGTCAGTGGGTCTGTTAGAGCCCATTTTCACCAAGGATAATTTTGCCAAACTTCAATCTTTCAGACTGAAATTTTGCAGGTCAGGTTGAAAATTTTTGGAAACTATCAGCCCAAATGGTTCAGGTCTCGGGGAAAAAAAATATGTTGTGTTGCTCAAGGTAAAAAAAAAAAAAATAGTAATAATCCAGCAGCCTCTTCTTCAAACAGGCCTCAAATCCCCATGTTTTTGATAAGTGATTTAAAATTAGGGAGAACACCCTGGTATCAGGCATGCCGTTTGCTCTTCTCCTTAAAATCTGCCCATATCTGAACAAATTTCATCCTTTTGGAAAACAGCAGTTTACACGTGCTTCGGGGAGCTTCACTAGAGCTTTGCGCCTTAAATTCCTGGGAGAGTCCCACCTGTGCTCTCTGCTATTCCCACCAAGTCCACATAACATGGGCTTCTGAAAAACAGTTCACAAACCTGAGCCTGGGAGCCAGGGGAAAATGGGTAACAGCAGCAAAAGTAATGTGAATAGAGATGAGGGGCAGGGAGAGATAAGAATTAGACACGGAGCCCCAGGAGTTTAAGACTAGGATTGTCTGTGTAAAGAGCCTGGGACCGAGAGGAAGAGCAGGGCTGGCAAAGTAAAGAGAATGAGACTGAGAAAAAGATTCAAGGCTCAGGAGACGGGATTGAAAGGAACAGGACAGAAGAGTCAAACTTCGGGGAGACAGGCAAGAGCGTGCGCCCAGAAGAGCAGGCTCCCGATCACAATCCTGCCTCGCCCCATTCCTCTGCTGGCAGCAGATATCTGAGACCCACCGGCACAACATCCTGGTCCTTCGAGAGCAGTGATTCTCAGCCGGGGACCCGTGGCATGCCAAGCTGCCATGACAGCCTCCCGAAAGGCACAGCAGGGAGAGAGGAGAAAGTGAGAAGCTTGAGGAGATGAAGCGCAGGGTCTTCCCTTCCAGCTCCTCCTTCTCCCCTCTCCCTCTGCAAATAGTAAGCACTATAATACAGTAGTTTTTGAAATGGGGCGCTGCTCAATTCACAAGTTCACAATTCACATGGGTGCTGCAAATCTAAAAAGATTAAAACCCGCCCACCTAGAGGATGGCAACCTATGACTATCGGTCACTGCCTCAGCCAAGTGGCAGAGGTCCTTGCACAAGGTCTGAACCCTGCGGAGTGCCACGAGTGCCAACATGATGCCTTAGGATCAAACTTCTGCCCCCCCCTTTACTTTTTCAGCAGCTCTGGACTGTGTATAGGAGGCAGTTTTTCTGTGCCCCCCTGCTCCTTTTGTTGAGGTTGTTGGGAGGCGTGCAATGAATGTGGCAAGGGAAGGAAAAAAAAAGGTGGTCTTGCAGCTTGGTAAGTTGAATAGTCTCCTGGAAAGTTGAATTAATTCCCTACCTCTGTCACAGCATTCTTGCGAGGCACAACGCAAGTCACTCCAACTCACATTTTCGTAGGGAACCAAAAACTGTTTTCCTCGCTTTGTGGGTGCCCGATCTGAGCATCTGCTCTGGAGCATGGCCTAC